CGCTAAATATGATAACCTCCTTGCATCTGCTAATTTATTGGCTGTCCCGTGTCCAGACGACCTGTCCCCAGAGCTTCCTATACAGTTAATCTCTTTCTGTAATGTGTTGAGGCCAGCAATTAAGGAGAATGGGAGGATCAATTAAAGATGTTGCAAAACTGCTGTATTTGAAGCACAACTCCCCTCTGCCCAGTTTCCCTGATAGTACTACTGCAATCAAGCTGTTTTTACCATCCCTGTAACTTCTACAGAGAGATTGTTTTCTAAACAAAAACTCATAAAGAACTACCAAAGAAGCATTAGGCTCTTGGTCTGATATGCGCTTCTAAACACCTGAGTAAGTTCCACTCATTGAACTGGCGCCGGCTTGGCCAATGGCATTTGTTCACCAACATCCCCTTATACGTTAAATCAGTTTTAAAAAATCACTTTCAAGACCTGAGGCACTTTTTCAGTCACATTCCCGAAACCCAAGAAACAAACACTTAGCTTCCTAGTACATATGGAAATTAAAAAGTTTTATGAATGACTTCTTGGAGGGTTACTATCAAAATGTTTAAAAAAATAAAATAATACTAGACAACGATGATAGGCTCCCAGAGCTCGTGGGCCCCCCTAATGTGCAGGTGCTGCGGGGGTGACACATGCACACACGCGCACACACACACAGGGTGATGGCTGGTAACACGATGCAGGCTGCATGAGGACATAAAACACCTTGCTTTCTCTTGTACATTGCAATACCTGCTGATATCTGTTTTCAGTTCAGTTTGTCAAGGAGGATTAAATAAGTGTATTAGCTTAGCTAGGCTTGAATTGTAAATGTAATAGGGTCTCATAAAATGTTGATTTGTGATATTGTATTTGAAGCAGGTTCTAATAAACAGTGTATTGACATATTAATAATGTGCTGAGAGAATGATAATTAGAGTATCTTACAAGACCATTTGATGTATTCCCTTTATATTTGTTACTGTTGAAATGACAAAGACATGGACATAATGTTCTTTAACAAGATAAATGATCATCTTGTTTTCTAATTATCTGAAATGCTCAAGGCGAGAGAAATGAAAGTTGTCAGTGATATAAGCGGCTGACAATGTTATTATTAAAAACATTTATTTTTTATCTTCAGGGTGGTAGGTTGTCAGTGTTGGCAAGGGAAAACTGATGTTGGGCCAGTAACATGAAAATTAAGCTGTTCCAATCCCTCAACACCTCTCAATATTTTGTCTCTTCTATTTCAGAATTCTGTAGGATTCCATCTGTGGGCGGATCATACCTTATAGATTGTGTGCTTTGAGTGTTAATATGATAGCCTCCGTTGACAGCAGCAGCAAATGTCAGATTGTATTTTTGTCAATGAGATTATGCTTATGCAATCAGTTGCTTGCTGCAGGGCTATACATGTCCACGGTGCAACATTTTTACATGAAAATCGCAGTTTACTGTACTTCAAGAGATGGAGATGTGTTTTGCATTGGGGGCTGTTTAGCATGCCCTCGGCTTGGCTATAGGAATGCATCCCACTAACCATCCAGATGATTCCCCTATTAATCTGAAAATCATTACGGTTTTGTCAACAGCACATTAACTACAGTACAAGCCTAGTAATTTAGCACTGCAGCAGAGGATGTACCCCATCTAGAAGCTATCTAGATATAATAGAGCAGAATAACAAACTCATACATTTATAATGACAAGTGTGGATGTAAATTCAAAAGTTGCTGCAGCATGGGGGTTACTATAATGGTGTCTTTGAACTTATAGTACATCCACTGGTTGTTAACTCTGAGTAATGCATCAAAAGTGAACCATCATTACCGAGTCTAGGTACTGTGGGCTTCGATCCAACAGTAAGAGTTGTAGGCTTATGCTTTCTTTGGCTTATAGCCGATACCATGATGACTGATCACTTACTTTGAAATTTACACAAAGTCCACAAAATCAATGTCATTAGCAAGAACTGACCATATCCCCCCTATAGCATTGATTTCCTCTCCTGCAGATGAACAACATTTAACGCAAAATGGTTGAAGGCCACAATTCCCAGGTCGGGAGAGGTCCTTCTGTTAATTCCTGTGAGAAAAGCTTGTGATTGCTTGTGCAAGACCCCTTTAGTATCATGGCATAGTGGAGGAGTGGTCAGAATTACTCAATGATCAGTGATTGCCATACTCAGCGTGCCATGCTCCTATTGGTCAAGAGGAAAGTGATGCAATTTAAGGCCTGAGTCTAGGCATCAGGCATGGTGTGAGTGTGAGGCTTGACTACTGGTGGTATGGAAAGACAAATTAAATGAATTAAAATCCTAAAAGAACTAGAGCAGAAATTTTCAGATGCATGAAAAGCCGTGCCAGATCAAATTAGAGGTCGGTGATTTCTGTATTTTAAAAACAGGGGAGGTTAAAAAGCAAACTGAAAAATAACTGTCCACCAATGAAAATATTCCTAATTATGCTGCTTTTTCTTGTAGTCACTGCATTTACACTGTATTTACAAGATAGGGAGAGCTACAGTTAATTCAGAAAGTATTCAGACCCCTTCACTTTTTCCACATTTTGTTACGTTACAGCCTTATTCTAAAATTGATTTAAAAGTTTTTTCCCCCTCATCAATCTACACACAATACCCCTAGTCTCCCGAGTGGCGCAGTGGTCTAAGGCACTGCATCGCAGTGCTAGCTGTGCCGCTAGAGATCCTGGTTCGAATCTAGGTTGCGTAGCCAGCTGCGACTGGGAGACCCATGGGGCGGCGTACAATTGGCCCAGTGTCATCCAGGGTAGGGGAGGGAATGGCCGGCAGGGATGTAGCTCAGTTGGTAGAGCATGGCGTTTGCAATGCCAGGGTTGTGGGTTCAATTCCCACGGGTGGGCCAGTATGAATTTTTTTTATAATTAAAAATAAATAAAAAAAATATTATAATTATTTAATTATAATAATGTATGCACTCACTAACTGTAACTCGCTCTGGATAAGAGCGTCTGCTAAATGACTAAAATGTAAAATGTAATGACAAAACAAAATGTTTTTTTATAAATTTTTGCTAATTTATTTGTTTTTAATCACCCGGAAATATCACATTTACATAAGTGTTCAGACCCTTTACTCAGTACTTTGTTGAAGCACCGTTGGCAGCGATTACAACCTGGAATCTTCCTGGTTATGACGCTACAAGCTTGGCACACCCATATTTGGGGAGTTTTTCCCATTCTTCTCTGCAGATCCTCTCAAGCTCTGTCAGGTTGGATGAGGAGCGCTGCTGCACAGCTATTTTCAGGTCTCTCCAGAGATGTTCGATCGGGTTCAAGTCCGGGCTCTGGCTGGGCTACTTAAGGACATTCAGAGGCTTGTCCCGAAGCCACTCCTGCTTTGTCTTGGCTGTGTGCTTAGGATGGGTGTCCTGTTGGAAGGTGAACCTTCGCCCCAGTCTGAGGTCCTGAGCACTCTGGAGCAGGTTTTCCTCAAGGATCTCTCTGTACAGTGTCTTGCAAAAGTATTCATCCCGCTTGGCATTTTTCCTATTTTGTTGCATTACAACCTGTAATTTAAATGGATTTTTATTTGGATTTAATGTAATGGACATACACAAAATAGTCCAAATTGGTGAAGAGAAATGAAAAAAATTACTTGTTTCAAAAAATTCTAATAAATAAATAACGGAAAAGTGGTGTGTGCATATGTATTCACCCCCTTTGCTATGAAGCCCCTAAATAAGATCTGGTGCAACCAATTACATTCAGAAGTCACATAATTAGTTAAATAAAGTCCATCTGTGTGTCACATGATATGTCACATGATCTCAGTATATATACACCTGTTCTGAAAGGCCCCAGAGTCTGCAACACCACTAAGCAAGGGGCACCACCAAGCAAGCGGCACAATGAAGACCAAGGAGCTCTCCAAACAGGTCACGGACAAAGTTGTGGAGAAGTACAGATCAGGGTTGGATTATAAAAAAATATGGAAAGAATATGGCACCTCAACAAACCTGCCAAGAGAGGGCCGCCCACCAAAACTCACTGACCAGGCAAGGAGGACATTAATCAGAGAGGCAACAAAGAGACCAAAGATAACCCTGAAGGAGCTGCAAAGCTCCACAGCGGAGATTGGAATATCTGTCCATAGGACCACTTTAAGCCGTACACTCCACAGAGCTGGGCTTTACGGAAGAGTGGCCAGAAAAAAGCCATTGTATCTTTGTACTCCCTGAGGAAGGCCATGCTGCCAAAACACGTCAGAGTTTTAAAATATTTGTTCCATTGAACATGCCATACAAATAAAGGCATTGTAATTACATGAAGAGTGCCTTGGTTCTCCTTGCTTTTTAAAAACATTAATATTCATAAGTAAGAAGAAAAAACATCACCCTACTGATTAAAGTAAGCAAGTGACCTGTATAATGCATCGTATTTAGATTAGTGCATTATAATCTGTCCTTAAACAAAGGCCTATACACAATGCGTAAGGCTTGCACATACAGTGTTTACCTGAGTGGACTAATACACCACAGGAACATATTAGGATAACCAAATAAGGAAGCCAGGGCTCTACATGTGTCTTTATTCCCTGTGCTACTGTGATAAATAAGCAGATTTCCTCAATCAATATTCCATACAAAGACTTCCAAGGCTACCAGGAAGCTAGCTGGGGATCTCGTTAATGCAATTAATTTAAAAGTCTCTGGGATGCAACTGGGGCATCTGCCCCTCATTAGGCATAGGACAGGTTTTTTACAGCTTGAATTTAAATGTTGAGAGAAAATAAAAAATCTCCTTTTCCTGACTTTTTTACGGATGCATATAAAATGGTGGTTCTGTGTTTTTGGTAACTTTCCAGAGAAGAGAATGCGTTGAGAATGCGTTGGCCAGGCCAGTACTGTCTGCAACCCCCCTGGAGCAGTTGCTTTCATCATTGCACCACCTCTCCCCAAACACAGACCAGCGTAGGCAGCTAACGCGCTTTCCTTTTGGAACAAACATCTCAAAGAGGCCTCCCTAATGCACCAACATAGCGGAGACGCGGTCCTCAGTATGGATGTGGAAACATTTGCCTAACTGTAACAACCTTCCAAATAAAGATCCTGCTGACTGTTTTTCTTTGTGGAAAATTACAAGGTTGGTCATGGTAACAAGAAATAACCTATGCTCTCAAAAAACTATATTTTCTATTTTGTAAATGGTCTTATGAAACTATAACAGCCATATTTACCTGAGTTGGTAAATATATTATTATATGCAGGTCTATACCACATGGTGCCTCTAGAACTTGTGTTTGTATGGGTTTGAAATTGTCTCGTTTGTTGAATGAAAGATATTACATTATCACTGAATATGAAGAACCTCAATGGATTTACTGAGCAGACAAGAGTTTAAATGGAATTGACCAAGGCCCTATCCAGAAACAACCCATAGCTAGCCCCTACCCCCTATGCACTTGTGTAGATGCAAACAGATTGGACAATTCCACCAAGCCTATGAGAAGGCAAGGTGGAGCTACTACCATTTGACACATTGTCTCCCGAGTGGCGCAGTGGTCTAAGGCACTGCATCGCAGTGCTAGCTGTGCCACTAGAATCCAGGCTCTGTCGTAGCCGGCCGCGACCGGGAGACCCATGGGGCGGCGCACAATTGGCCCAGCGTTGTCCAGGGTAGGGGAGGGAATGGCCGGCAGGGATGTAGCTCAGTTGGTAGAGCATGGCGTTTGCAATGCCAGGGTTGTGGGTTCGATTCCCACGGGGGGCCAGTATGAAAAAAATAATGTATGCACTAACTGTAAGTCGCTCTGGATAAGAGCGTCTGCTAAATGACTAAAATGTAAATGTAATATTGCTTACGCCTATCTAATTATTTCAGGTCTATGGGCTATGGGTCCTGGTGACCTATTAGCCTTGTTTCAAGAGGACGTACCTGTAGCTTCAACCATGCCCTCCAGGATGACCACGATCTCAAACTCCTCCTTGTCCATCTGGGCCTGGGATAACTCCCAGAAGGGGCTCTTCTCGTTGATCTCATGGGAGATTATGAGTGGGGACACCAGGAAGAGCCGGTCGTCTCCCGTGTCGAAACCGATGTTGATGTCCGTCTGGTTGAGAGGGATGAACTCCCCCTCCTTGGTCTGCTGTGAGCGGATCAGCTTGGCCCGGATTGAGGCCTCCACGATGTGGGAGTTGCGCAGGTCCCCGACTCTGAACATCAGACACAGCTTGTTGTCCCGCACAGAGATTACGGCCTTGTGGGAGAACATAAGCGTCTCGGCACGATTCTTGGGTTGGGAGATCTTCACGAACATGCAGCCCACCATCATTGCGTTGACGATGGAGCCCAGGATGGCCTGGATCAGCAGCAGGATGATGCCCTCAGGGCACTTCTCTGTGATGACGCGGTAGCCGTAGCCGATGGTGGTCTCCGTCTCAATGGAGAAGAGGAAGGCTGAGACGAAGCTGTTGAGGTTCTCTACACAGGGGGTCCAGCCCTCCTCGTCGCTGTGCCACAGGTCCCCTCGGATCAGGGCGATGATATACCACAGCAGGCCGAAGAACAGCCAATTGACCACGTAGACCAGAGTGAAGATGAAGAGGCTGAAGCGCCAGCGCAGGTCCACCAGGGTGGTAAACAGGTCGCTTAGGTAACGGTAGGTCTCCTGCACGTTGCCGTGGTGAACGTTGCACTTGCCGTCCTTCTGGACATAGCGTTGACGGGGCTTCTTGACGGGGTCGGCGATGAGGTGGGTGCGCTCAGTGGAGATCTGGGCCTCCCGCATGTGTTTGGGAAGCTTTTTCACCTGGAGAGACAGAGAGGAAGAGAGACAGTTCTGCTGAGACATTGGTCACAATGTCATTGTCTTCAGTAGTTCATGTGTGGAGCCAGGAGTGACCTGTTCAAGAAAAACCCTGGACTCTCGTTACAGTCTATCGCTAAAGGCAATTGTTTTCCTGGTCAGGTCAAATGGTGAGCAAAAACATCTGCCTCTTTTCATGTGCAATGTCCTCATATTACCCTTGTTGCTACAATGTGTGAAATGTCCTCATATTACCCTTCTTTCTAAAATGTGTGAAATGTCCTCATATTACAGTTTGTGGAATTTTCTCATATTACCCTTGTTGCTACAATGTGTGCATTGCAGTGCTGTCACACTGTCATGTTATATGAGAAAAGACACATTCTCAACCTTTTAAGTAATTGCTTTGCTTTCATCCTCAACCACCTTCAACTGCCACCCTCGTTGACCATAAATAAACTGTAAATCAATGCTACAGATATCTCTGCTACACCAGTGCTGGGCGAGGACCGCATACGATGCTCTGGCTAAATGAAATGAAGGGGCCTGATACTGTAGCTGCACTGCTCCCATAACACTGTGTGAGAGAGTGTCTCTCCAAGCACAAGGTGCGCCAGGACTGTGGGAGGGAGAAGAGCGAGAGAACATAAGGGTACAAGGCCTTCCTTCCTCACTGCTGGCCCAGCTCCAGCCAGGCGATCTGGCTCAACAGCTGTGCCTCCCCTGTCCCTAGTGCTGTACCTCACCCCCTATGGGACACTGGCAGGCCTGGATAGGAACACCCCGTCCCGGTCTCTCCCACCCCGTCCCTGTCCCTCCCAGCTCCTACTCTACCCCCCCACACACACGGGCCAAGGGCACATCGGCACTCTGTGTCCTGATCGTTGGAGACGACGAGCTCAGTTGTTAATTGAAATGTGGTATTGCCATTGTGGTGTTGCCCCTCCTGTGCCCTCTGAATCTCTGGGTGATAATCAAACACCTGTGTTCACTGCTTACTCTCTCCCCAGAGTGGTGTTACATCCGAGGCTGACACACTACTCCAAAACTGAAATAATGGCTCCCGATTGAAGGAATTCAAATTAAAGACATGCCTTTGAAAATACATGCTATAGTCCTCAAATGATTTAAATAAAGATCTGAATACTGTATGCAGGTTTCCATTGACCCAGGTTTAATAGACAAAAGTAATGTCGGCCCAAAAAATATTTGCAACGTGTAATGGAAAAAGCAGATATAGGACACATTTTGTAAAGATCTCGAACATTTTTATCCATTCAACAGGGGTGGATTTTTCTTTTGTCTAACTTTCTTTTTCTTTTTCTTTTATTTGTTTCACCTTTATTTATCCAGGTAAGCCAGTTGAGAACAAGTTCTCATTTACAACTGCGACCTGGCCAAGATAAAGCAAAGCAGTGAGATAAAAACAACAACACAGAGTTACATATGGGGTAAAACAAAACATAATGTCAAAAATACAACAGAAAATATATATACAGTGTGTGCAAATGTAGCAAGTTATGGAGGTAAGGCAATAAATAGGCTATAGTGCAAAATAATTACAATTAGTATTAACACTGGAATGATAGATGTGCAAGAGATGATGTGCAAATAGAGATACTGGGGTGCAAATTAGCAAAAATAAATAACAATATGGGGATGAGGTAGTTGGGCGGGCTAATTACAGATGGGCTGTGTACAGGTGCAGTGATCGGTAAGGTGCTCTGACAACTGATGCTTAAAGTTAGTGAGGGAGATAAGAGTCTCCAGCTTCAGAGATTTTTGCAATTCGTTCCAGTCATTGGCAGCAGAGAACTGGAAGGAATGGCGGCCAAAGGAGGTGTTGGCTTTGGGGATGACCAGTGAGATATACCTGCTGGAGCGCATACTACAGGTGGGTGTTGCTATGGTGACCAATGAGCTAAGATAAGGGGGGGATTTGCCTAGCAGTGATTTATAGATGGCCTGGAGCCAGTGGGTTTGGCGACGAATATGTATTGAGGACCAGCAAACAAGAGCTTACAGGTCACAGTGGTGGGTAGTATATGGGGGTTTGGTGACAAAACAGATGGCACTGTGATAGACTACATCCAATTTGCTGAGTAGAGTGTTGGAGGCTATTTTGTAAATGACATCGCCGAAGTCAAGGATCAGTAGGATAGTCCGTTTTACGGCATGGGCAAGTTGCAGCGGAGGGTGCAGAGCTGGTGGCCGGGATAGTGGTATCCAGGTGGAAAGCATGGCCAGCCGTAGCAAAATTATTGTAGATTTATCGGTGGTGATAGTGTTTCCTGGCCTCAGTGCAGTGGGCAGCTGGGAGGAGGTGCTCTTATTCTCCATGGACTTTACAGTGTCCCAAAACTTTTTGGAGTTAGTGCTACAGGATGCTAATTTCTGTTTGAAAAAGTTAGCCTTTGCTTTCCTAACTGCTTGTGGTTCCTAACTTGGTTCCTAACTTCCCTGAAAAGTTACATATCGCGGGGGCTATTTGATGCTAATGCAGTACGCCACAGGATGTTTTTGTGCTGGTCAAGGGCAGTCAAGTCTGAGGAGAACCAGGGGCTATATCTGTTCTTAGTTCTGTATTTTTTGAATGGGGCATGTTTATTTAAGATTGAGAGGAAATTACTTTTAAAGAACAACCAGGCATCCTCTACTGACGGAATGAGATCTATATCCATCCAGGATACCTGGGCCAGGTCAATTAGGAAGGCCTGCTCGCTAAAGTGTTTTAGGGAGCGTTTGACAGTGATGAGGGGTGGTCGTTTGACCGCGGACCCGTTACGGATGCAGGAAATAAGGCAGTGATCGCTGAGATCCTGGTTGAAGACAGGATGATTAACACTGGAATGATAGTTAGTCAGGATGATATCTATGAGGGTACCCATGTTTACGGATTTAGGGTTGTACCTGGTAGGTTCGTTGATAATTTGTGTGAGATTGAGGGCATCTAGTTTGGATTGTAGGACGGCCGGGATGTTAATCATATCACCAAGCAGTACGAACTCTGAGGATAAATGGGGGGCAATCAATTCACATATGGTGTCCAGGGCACAGCTGGGGGCTGAGGGGGGTCTGTAGAAAGCGGCAACAGTGAGAGACTTATTTCTGGAAAGGTGGATTTTTAGAAGTAGAAGCTCAAACTGTTTGGGCACAGACCTGGATAGTATGATAGAGCTCTGCAGGCTATCTCTACAGTAGATTGCAACTCCACCCCCTTTGGCAGTTCTATCTAGATGGAAAATGTTGTAGTTGGGGGTGAAAATTTCAGAATTTTTGGTGGCCTTCCTAAGCCAGGATTCAGACACTGCTAGAACATCAGGGTTGGCGGAGTGTGCTAACGCAGTGAATAACTCAAACTTAAGAAGGAGGCTTCTGATGTTAACGTGCAGAAAACCAAGGCTTTTACAGTTACAGAAGTCAACAAATAATAGCTCCTGGGGAGTAGGAGTGATACTGGGGGCTGCAGGGCCTGGGTTAGCCTCTACATCACCAGAGGAACAGAGGAGGACCAGAATAAGGATACGGCTAAAGGCTTTAAGAACTGGTCTTCTAGTGCGTTGGGTACAGAGAATAAAGGGGGCAGATTTCCGGGCGTTGTAGAAAAGATTCAGGGCATTATGTACAGACAAGAATATGGAAGGATATGAGTAGAGTGGAGGTAAACCTAAGCGTTGGGTAACAATGAAAGTGATAGTATCACTGGAGGCACCGATTGAGCCGGTCTCGCGTGTATGGGGGGTGGAACAAAGGAACTATTTGAGGCAGTTTGAGAGGGACTTGGGGTTCCACAGTGAAATTGTATAATAAGAACTAACTGGAACAGCAATAGGCAAGGCATATTGACATGGGAGAGAGGCATAAAGCAATCACAGGTGTTATTAGAGAGAACTAAGACAACAACTGGTAATGGCGATAAAGTTTGGGCTGAGGCTAAACAGAATAAACAGGACAGGGTACCGTGTAAAGGAACAGTCCAGCAGGCATCAGCTGTGCAGCTGAGTGATCATAAGGTCCAGTGAACAGCAATATGTGAGTCCGAGAGCAGTTCAAATTGGTGCTTCAGCACAGCTAGCAGGAAGCACGGTTGTAGTTTGCGTGTGCTAGCGGGCCGGGGCTAGCAGATGTATCTTCGTGGTCGTTGCAACGGGAAGCCTGTTGAAACCACAGACAATTACGTCGGCAGACCAGTCGTGATGGATCGGCAGGGCTCTGTGTCGACTCTAGGAGGTCCCGTCCGGTTGACAGAGAGGTAGATAGCCGGGAGTTGTGCTTGACTCAAGGCTAGCTCAAGGCTGATTAGCCAACAACAACGTTCATTTGGTTGCAGCTAGCTAGTTGCGATTATCCAGTGTTAAAGGTCCAGTGATTCAGTGATTCCGGCAGAAAATCTGATAGGTTCTGACAAATTATGATGGAAACAGTGTTTTTCGAATAAATGATGATGACAAATCATTTTGAAGGTACGCAGGGCACGTGATGTAAACACATAACTATGAAGCTGCACTCATTTAATTCTACTGCCTGCTAAATCTATTTTTCAACTATAAAAATAATGTTTCTTTGCAGGATCCTTGTACTGACTTTCAAGAATGGCTGATTTGCTTCGACTTGCTTTCTGATTTGCTGGATGCAAGTTTCACCATCAATTATTTCAGATCTACAGGAGTGTAAGTTTCACCATGGCACGGACCGTGGCGATACGTTGACACGAGAATTATTAGAATATGGCAAATATTAGTAAATTCTTGCATTCTATCTATGCTGGCTTTTGCGGGCTATCTGAGACATGAAACAGATAGGTGGGAGGGCATACAGCCTATGACCAATGTATTAATCCACAATTTGCCTAAATGGGTAATGTAAACACATCAACCACTTAATTTGTATTCAACAGTGTAGTTTTTTTGTAGGTGTGACGTCATTTCGGCCTGCTGTTTTTATCGACACAATATAGCAACCAATTGCCGAATCTGTATTCTATGAAAAAGTTCTAAATGTCGACACTTTATTAATGTATTGATCTTTTTCTAGATTATACGGTAATGAGAGGTTTGACAGTGAAGTGAAAGACAACATCCATTGACCAATACAGCTATTAGTCACTCAATGACATTGGGCTCTTGTGACGAGTGTTTGGGAGAAAGCAGGGGCCACTTCAAAATGTAATGTCTCTATTTCCTTGGGGGAAGGTAGCTTTTAAATTTCCTGCATTGCAAGTTCTCCTGCAACAGGGTAATCAAATTAAGAACCTACATCTGTACCTGTACAGTCCTAAATCAAAGACAATGCACCTATTTTTTTCTATTTGAGAGCGTTAAAGAAATTCCTAATTGAGTGATTGATGAAGCCAGTCACAGACAGTGCTACAATAGTGCAGCCAGCCCACTGTTGGCCATCCCAGAGTCAATGATGTCTGCAGTTCTGATACTCCATAAACAAATTAATTAGCAATTGCTGTGTGCTGGTGTTTTTCCACAATTGGTTTGTCTCACCACACTCGGTTAGGGAGAATACATTCAATCGTCTCTGGAATAAAGACAAATAACCTGGACTGTTTCACTATCCATTATCAGGACGTGTGAGTTGTTTTCTCACAATCTTTTCCACGGTAGTGGGCTGAACCATCCATCAATCCTCTTCTGCAGAGACAGACAGGCACACACACATGATCACCCCTCTTATAGGAAAGTCATGATCCACAATGGTTCCCTCTCATCTCCTTATATTTTTCCCTTACACCAGACACTTCCATCTTTCACCACCCCCTCTTTCTTTCCCTCTTCCCCGCTCTGCCCCCTGTCTCTATACCTCCCAGCATTGTTACACAGGACAATTGGGGGAGGGAGAGGACTGTGTGTGCGTATGGGAAATATGTTCTTACCGCTGTGGGTGTGACTCCTATCTCCATGTCGTGGTCCATGTGGACTCGAGAATCTCCTGCCATACTCAGCTGGAGCTCAACACCTGTTGGGAGAGAGGGAGATGGAGGTTCAACAAACTGTGAATCTCCACTACAGTCAGCATTTCACTTTCATTAATGTACAGAATTATGCATCAATCAGCTCTCAACAATGGATGATTTTTCACAATATATCCCATAAGATCAATCAGGAAAAATCAAGGATAAGGAACATTTTGCATAGTCAATACTATATTGACTGATAAACACCCAATAAATTGTTTTCTACACATATCAATACTACTATGCCAGTCATCTGTTTGAATAGGAGCCACTACTAACAGTGAGCCTGAATCTTAACAATGCATGTCTCCATTTTCATGTCAAATCTATAGGCTAAACGACTATGTTCCAACAACCATACTAGCATGCCGCTAAGAATGCATATCCAGTACATTACTCCATTCATTACTTCATGCTACAGTAGGTGGTATGTGAGGACAGTGAAGTCAGTATTGAGGACATTAACACAGAGCCTCAGTTCATCATAATAAGACAGACCTGTTTCACCAACACAGAATGCTATTGTGTGGATTAACTCTGGACTCACATGGGAAATGGGACTGTGTTCAAAATGTGCATCACTCTGTTAGCTAATTTGTAATCTCTGAATGAAGCAGTCTCAGCTGTCTGTAGCTACCATGTTCAACCTTTGTCATCCCCCCGAGGAGGAGAGGAGGAGAACACATCAGTGCCAGTACGCTGCCTGGGTTGAACACCAACCCAACTGTTAAAAGCCCTGATGCTGCAAGGACACGCTGACCACTACGTGTATCACAACAATCACCAGCATGGACCGCTCACAATCTGTCCACAGCTCATTTTAAAGTCTTAATATCTTTGTCTAAACTTCCCATGTGACTACAATAATAGCTCTTTTGCTATTTTTTTTTACAAAGTAACACCATGAAAGGTGATTTGATGTAGTTTTGAAGACTTCTTTCGAACAGTGAATGTGGTTTCTTTGTTGCTATTTTAGGTATCTTGGTGTAATACAGTGATCTAGTGACAGACTGCAGTATCTGTGATCTGATTTCAAAGTGCTGGAAATTGTATTTTTAAACATCAATTACATAAGACTCAAACTGACAGAGGGAAAAAAAGAAAAGACAAATATTTTTTGGCAATAGGATTAAATAACACATACAGGAAGTCAGCACTACAGATATGAGAGGCGGAGAGAGCACGTCGATAGGGACTAATTTTAGCTACAATTTCACAACAACACCTTTTCAGTTATATAAAAGCATAATAACTGATAGGGTCACTGGTGTTTGAAAATAAACCAATAGAGTGACAGAGAGTATGAACTGTGTGTTTCAAAATCAACAATCAGCAGAGGTGTGGATTCGAGACACATGACTTGGACTTCAGTCTGACTCGAGACACAAATTTGATGACTTGAGACTCGACTTGATAGAAAATAAAATAACTTCAGACTTGATTGGAGCCTCAAGACTCGGGACTCGACTTTGACTTGAGACTTGAAATTATCTGGCCAGGTTTTGTCACTCATTTTGTGGCACAGAGTCCCCTTGGATTACTCTCCACACAGCCAGAGACCGTTGCCGCAGCATGCACTTGCAATAAAAAAGACGTGCAACAGATTGGCTAGTGAAAACAATCAGTGTCAATCAACACAGGTCGCTAGTGTCAATCAACACAGGTTGGGTGAGCTAGCACAATGGTTGTCAAAGTGGGGAGAAGGTTTTGGGTGGTTGTGAGTGTGAGTGTGAAACTGAATGGGAAAAATACATATTGTTCATACATATTTTAATAGGATACATATAGCCTACCATTTGTATTTATATACACTACATGACCAAAAGTATGTGGACACCTGCTCTTCGAACATCTCATTCCAAAATCATGATAATTAATATGGAGTTGGTCCCCCCTTTGCTGCTATAAAAGCCTACACTCTTCTGGGAAGGCTTTCCACTAGATGTTGGAACATTGCTGCGGGGACTTTTTTTCATTCAGCCACAAGAGCATTAGTGAGGTCGGGCACTGATGTTGGGCGATTAGGCCTGGCTCGCAGTCGGCATTCCAATTAATCTCAAAGGTGTTCGATGGGGTTGAGGTCAGGGCTCTGTGCAGGCCAGTCAAGTTCTTCCACACCGATCTCTACAAATCATTTCTGTATGGACCTAGCTTTGTGCACGGGGGCATTGTCATGCTGAAACAGTAAAGGACCTTCCCCAAACCGTTGCCACAATGTTGGAAGCACAGAATCTTCTAGAATGTCATTGTATGCTGTAGCGTTAATATTTCAGATGGTGAAGCGTGATTCATCACTCCAGAGAATGCGTTTCCACTGCTCTAGAGTCCAATGGAGGTGAGTTTTACACCACTCCAGCCGACGCTTGGCATTGTGCATGGTGATCTTGGGCTTGTGTGCAGCTGCTCGGCCATGGAAACCCATTTCATATATATATACCAAGGTATGTGGACAATTTTGAAAAAGAAAAGGAGAGCCGCACACTCTAGGAGCTCAGATGCAATAATTTAATAACCTAATAACCAACTTTTCGACAAGCAAGCTGTCTTCATCAGGGTGTTCTACTCTGCTAGACAGCACCTTGCCTAAACATGTGTGCATTTCTTTCGCCTCCATGTGGACAATTTTTGCCATATTAGCATTGACATGAAATCAGTCAAAACACCTCAAAACAAGACATGGCATCAAGAACAAGCTGAAACTAGCTGAAACGAGTCACTTACGATTCCCCACATGGCAGTTTCTTGTTATTGTTGGTAGCTATCTGGGCATCCAGAATCACAACTCACAGACTTCTGCCCCATTCAAATAAAATTAAATGTTATTTGCCACATGCGCCGAATACAACAGGTGTAGACATTACCGTGAAATGCTTACTTACAGCACTAAACCAACAATGCATTTTTTTTTTATAAAAAAGTAAAATAAAACAACAACAACAAAAAAGTGTTGATAAAAAAAGAGCAGAAGTAAAATTAAATAACAGTAGGGAGGCTATATACAGGGGGGTACTGGTGCAGCTAGTTGAGGTAGTTGAGGTAATATGTACATTTGGGTAGAGTTAAAGTGACTATGCATAAATAATTAACAGAGTAGCAGCAGCGTAAAAAGATGGGGTGGGGGTGGGGTGGCAGTGCAAATAGTCCGGGCAGCGATGATTAGCTGTTCAGGTGTCTTATGGCTTGGGGGTAGAAGCTGTTGAGAAGCCTTTTGTACCTAGACTTGGCGCTCTGGTACCACTTGCCGTGCAGTAGCAGAGAGAACAGTCTATGACTAGGGTAGCTGGAGTCTTTGACAATTTTGAGGGCCTTCCTCTGACACCGCCTGGTATACAGGTCCTGGATGGCAGGAAGCTTGGCCCCAGTGATGTACTGGGCCGTACGCACTACCCTCTGTAGTGCCTTGCGGTCGGAGGCCGAGCAGTTGCCATACCAGGCGGTGATGCAACCAGTCAGGATGCTCTCGATGGTGCAGCTGTATAACGTTTTGAGGATCTGGGGACCAATGCCAAATCTTTTCAGTCTCCTGAGGGGGAATAGGCTTGAAGCGTAAACATCGTTTTCGTGACATTGTCAGCTAATCCATCTATAAAATACAATTTAGAAATATACTATGGAGGCATCTTTGCCAGAACAATAATAGGCTACCCGGCGGTTACATTGATAATTTTTATATTTCAGATAGGCCTAGTTTGGGTGGCTACTGGCTATATGTCTAAAGATAGCTGTAACATCTCTCTGCCTTCAATATCATGGGATGAATATTGAACATATTTTGGTGAATTAATTACAGTATTTGTGAGGAAGAAAAGGGCTACCCAATTGGCAACAAGCATTATGCGGAAAGGCAGCCCTCGAAAGTGATAGTGTTTGGTGTAGACAGACCATGCTTTCCATCTGATCCTACACCCTCCACTGCATACAGGTAGGTAGGCCGTATGATTCTTCTTGCTCTGAACTCCAGAGAAGTGACATGATATCCCTACTTGATATTGGCTTCTAACATGAATGACTTTCAGCTCAAAATGCAGGTATAAAACAAAGTTTATTTCTGTGTCTTATTAAGTTTTGAAAATGCAGTGACGTTTATGGATGTATTGACAGGCTACATTTGCACAGCTATTGTGCGTGCATGCATGTGCGGAGGTCGCAAGCTTTGAACCACTGTTTTTTGAGGGTCGGGTGTCAAAAAGTTTGAGAACCACTGAGCTAGTGAATAGATTGCTGATTTGCTATACAGCTATAGGATCGGGTGCAGCGCAAACATCACATTTTAGAGAGAGGATTTCCATAAATAAATATGCAGCTCCAAAAATTGTTTGCTGATATTAACTGTTTACTTTGCAAGCTCACCAGCAATGGGGCAACAAGCAAAAAATTACTAGCATAGGCCTACTGGTCTATTGTGTGTCAAAATTGATTGAAATTGATCATTTACTTATGAAGCTTGCATTTCGAATTTGGTGTTAAAATGAATTATTACATAATCTAACTACACAACCGGTCAAAAGTTTTAGAACACCTACTCATTCAAGGGTTTTTCTTTATTTTTACTGTTTTCTACATTGTAGAATAATAGTAAAGATATCAAAACTATGAAATCATAAAGTACCCAAAAAAGTGTTAAACAAATGAAAATATAGTTCATAATTGAGATTCTTCAAATAGCCACACTTTGCCTTGATGACAGCTTTGCACACTCTTGGCATTCTCTCAACCAGCTTCATGAGGTAGTCACCTGGAATGCATTTCAATTAACAGGTGTGCTTTCTTAAAAGTTAATTTGTGGAATTTCTTTCCTTCTTAATGCCTTTGAGCCAATCAGTTGTGTTGTGACAAGGTAGGGGGAGTATACAGAAGATAGCCCTATTTGGTAAAAGACCAAGTCCATATTATGGCAAGAACAGCTCAAATAAGCAAAGAGAAATGACAGTCCATCATTACTTTAAGACATGAAGGTCAGTCAATACGGAACATTTCAAGAACTTTGAAAGTTTCTTCAAGT